CTATCTTTTTGTTACTACATACTTTTGGTTTTAATCGAGAGTTCCTGTTGGTTTGACAATGATTTTTGTTTTTAAACTAAAGTGTGGTTTTGTTTTCTCCATAAATTCTTAGTAGTTTTCTTTATATTTTTTTCTTAAAATGATAAGTAAATAAAGTATTGGATGGAAGTTATGAAGGGTATTGATCTTTAATTTTGGAAGAAGTTGTGATGATATAACTCCATGTACTTCATTTACTTTTTAATTTGGCTCATCGAGATGTTAAAATTTGTTGTGAGAATATGTAAGAACTGGGATGGTATTGTCTTAGTCAACAATTGAAAAGAATCACATGAGATTGTATGGATGATAATGTAATTCATATGATTGAATGCAAATAAATAGGGAAATAATCATTGAAGGGTGTAGAGTTAGATGATTCAAAGTGACAGGTTAAAGCCCCCAACTTTGTTTATTGTTTTATATTTTGATATACGATGTTAGCCCCCAAGTGGAGAGAATCGAGGGAACTCTAGAGTGAGAGCTGGTATCTTCTCTGCCTAGCCGGTCTTCAGAACTATTCAAACTTTAAATTAGTCAATGTTCTTTATAACATCTCTAGTAAGGGTAAAGAATAATATTACTCCTATTTGGCACAACACAATTATGCATACTTCCACAACAGAATTCTTATACTTATTACTGATTCATGATAAGGAAAAAAATATTTCATATTCAGTGCTTCTTATCTTACAAAATCTCAAGTTATCTTTAGATGTTATTATATTGTCAAAATATCAAAAATACAAAAAAGAATTGAACTTTAATTACTGTGATAATATCTTTAGTTTAAGTAATTGTATTTTTGAAATAGAAGTTTGTTACTTAATAGTGCATATTGTGAACAATTCCTGTGGGTTCGATATTCGGAGCTTAATCAAAAAGTCATATATTACTCTATAACGATACGTATACTTGCGTAGTATCCCAATATATATATAAATTAAAAAGTAGAATTCTTATTTTCTTCAGGATCAAGTTTTTGGTGTTGTTGCAAAGTAGGAAAGATAAATGAATAATATAATTGCATACATTGTTATACTGTTGTATAAAAACGGTCGGGATCAGGTAGCAAATAAAATTTTTGGAATGGAGATTGTGTTTGGTGGATGCTAAAAAACCCTAGGATAGGATTAGGGTTAACCTGACTCTAATATCAATTGATGTCGGAATTAACCGAAACCTACAACGGAATGAGAATATTATTGTTGAAATTCAAATGGAGTTATAACCAAGGCATTTGAAAACAGAAAAACAACGACATAAAGACAAAACTAGGGCATAGATCAGGATGGCGGTGCTACGGTTTGATGGGAACATAGCTATGAAATTAAGGAATTGGATATTGGTTCCAACCCAACTTAGCCCTTTTTTAATCCAATTTTAATCTCTGTATTTTAGCATACAATCTTCACCTATTTATATCTAAAGAAACATCTAGAAATCTTTTTAAATTCAAGAGTACCAAAAAGTAGGATCTAATCCTTAAACATAGTTAATAAAAAAACTCCTGAAATGTAGAACATCTTAAGGAAAATGGAAAAATTCCTTAAACAAACAAGATATTTAAAATACCTTAAATTTCTCTGTATGGATTGACCGAGCCCTTGAATGTGTAAACTTTGGTTGTTAATTTATTATTACATTTTTCATTTCATTCTGTCTTTTAAGCAATTGAAAAAGATTCCTCTTGTTCTTGCCCAACCCTTTCTTTCGATAAATTTTGGAGTTGCAACTTCGCAAAATTGAGTCTACACCTTTTGTAGAATTTGTTGGAATTTTTGGAAAATTTTCAGTCAACTCAGATGTTCTAAGCTATATAAAAATTTTGGAATATTAAAATCCTCGTGGATCATCTTGAAACGGTTTGATGGTTGAGATTTAAATGTTATGTTGTTTTGTTCTATATAGAGGAGTTGGTAGAATCCCAAATTTTGATGCCATTATTTGGATGGCCGGAATTAAGTGATTCTTATATTTGTATAGGGAGTTGATCCAGATTCTTCCATAATGATTAAATATTAATACTCCTTTGGTCTGCTTCTGCTACTTCAATGATGAAGCAATAAAATTAGGAAGATTTACATGCATACCACTCAGTGGTGTTATATATGAAAAAGGTGTATTTCACTTCTTAAAAGTTAAAATAGTGGTACTTTGATGTGATATGAAAGATTTGAATGGTTTAAATGCATAAAGCAAAGTTTAGATGTTAGAGACGTAAATATATGTGAATTTGGTGGTATGTATGTAAATGCCCTTTAAAATTATATCCTTGTTATACATGGCCTCTCTTTACCTTTTTTTCCGGGTAACTTAGCGCATTGTGATTTCATTGGGTTCTTCAGTCCTGAAACCATAAATTAGATAACTTTCTGACTATCATTTAATAATCATTTATTTGGCTATACTGAGTGTGTGACAATCGTTTGATAAGGATGTTTTCAAATTCGTTTTGCAGGCTGATGACACTGACGTTATCTGCTATCTTCTTCATACAGAAATAGTTCCTTTGTGTCTACGCAGCATGGAAAATGGAGGCGAAATATCACAAACAGCTGCGTATCGAATTTCCCGAATTCGCTATAATTCAGAACTTTTAAATGTCTTATAATTATGCACTCTGTTTTTAAAGGAATTGCAATTTTTCTGCAAAAAATGTCATCTTTTTTGTTTGATATATTGGTGTTATACCTCTATGGATTGTATTTTTGAATCATTTTTGTAGGAAATTGACAATAGATAGCCCGTTATTCTGAACTATGTTGTCCTGCAATGGATGCAATTCTATCCAGATTTCAGTCCTGTCTTTGCATTATACATATGAGTAGGTACGTTTTAGCCTTTTTTTGGTGTTTTGTGTGTGCTCTTGTGATGCAGGATGAACCAGGTTTAGGCTTCCTAATGCGAATAATGTGATGCATAATATATTTTTGGGGCATTTACATACATAGCACCTATTTTGCACGGACACGGACACAGACACGACACGGGATGACACGGACACCGGACATATCTATTATGGAAAATATAGGACGGACGCACGTCAGACACACCATTATAGTAAAAATTATTATAATATATATATAACACAAAAAAATACATTTGACTCACCCTTAGGGGTCCTCTTCCCGTATATATAATAAACAAAATATTAAGAATAAAACAAAAGAGAAATTAAAGAATTTAATAACACTAACAACAAGAGCCAGTAGGAGCACACCTGAGGAAAATGTGAAGGCTATTCATTAAGATGATAGAGCTAATTAGAGTGGGAGGAAGCCCAAGAGGAGTTGCACACCCAGGATGAACCAGGTTTAGGCTTTCTAATGCAAATAATGTGATGCATAATATATATTTTGGGGCATTCACATACATAGCGCCTATTTTGCGCGGGCACGACACGGTACTGCACGGACACTGGATACGTCTATTATTGAAAATATAAGACACAAACGCAAGTCAAACACGCCATTATAATAAAAAATATTAAAAAATATATAAATAAAATAAACAAAATATTATAAATAATGCAAAAAAAAAAATAAAGAATTTAATAACACTAACAATAGCAGCCAGTAGGAGCACACCTGAGGAAAATGTGAAAGCTATCCATTAAGATGATAGAGCTAATTAGAGCAGGAAGAAGCCAAAGCGGAATAGTACACCCAACAGTGCCTGCAAGGAGGTGTATTAGATGTCATGGTTTGGACACATTGCTTCCAGTTGCCCTATTACTCGAGTTGTTTCTTTTACCAAGCAGAGAGCAGTAAAAGAAGTGGGTAGTAGTTAGGGGTGTAAACAAGCTGAGCTTGAGCAAGCCTAAGGCTTGTTCTTGTTCATTTCGTTAAATTTTTTTTTATTTGTGTTAGACTCATGTTTGAAATAGCTCGTGAATAACTTGTTTGTGTTCGACTCAATTCAAACTCGTTTGTTCGAGTTAAGCTATTGTTCAAGCTTGAATTTCGACTCGAACTAAATTTCAATTTTTTTAAATATTTTCAGTGGAACACGCACGCACGCACGCACACACGCGCGCGCCCACGCACGCGCACACGCGCGCGCATATATATATATATATATATATATATCATTTTTTATTTGTAAATCATATAATGGCCGGAGTCGTCTCCTTCATCGAGGCTCTATTAGGGGTTCGCCTCACGGCGAAACCCTAGCCTCTGCTGCCCGCACTCCACGCTCG